GTTCACAAGATTTTAATATTTCGTCTGAAGTATTTTTTCACGTCATTTATTCTATTTTCAACATGGTCTTTATCTATTTGAATTGCGTTTATTTGATCCAGTAAATATTTCTTGTTCACAGCATCGTTATCGTNTTCTGGAAACTTTAAATTAGTTATTTTGAAATTGTTCATATCGATATCNCCTTGTAAGGTGTCTCCGATTGATTCCACGAAAAAAGGTTTCGCTTTGTTTATAAACGTCGTCATGGGATTTTTAGATTCTAGAGGTAAAGACCCTAATCCAAACTTGTTTGCCATTTTTATTGAGTTAAATTTATTATAATTTCTTCAAACTTTTCTCCCAAACTCAACCGATATAAAACCCAAAGCGACAGCTGTCCACACAGCTTTTGTCCTGGCATTTGAATTTGAAACGTAGAACATTTGATTGGTTTGCTAGTCAATTTCGTTATCTCTTCTGTCGGTTCTAGACCGATAGAATCAAAGAAATAAAAGTTATTCGAAGAATCTTTGTGTAGAGCAGAGTGATAAACTCCTTTTTGATCCGACGTGTGACGACGACGAAATATATACGTAGTTTGTGTTTGAAAAAACTTGTATAACATTCTGATAAAACACATTCAATAATATTTTGAAGATAAATTTACATTTAAATTTAAAAAATCTTAATTTAAGAGAGCGTAAATGCTTGTCGACATCTAAATTTCTTAACCTTTCATCTAAATCTTCATTTTCGAGATTCATTTTTAAAAGTCAGTTTTTTGAAGTTCATTTTGATAAAACCTTCCTATGATTTGTTCTTTGTCTTGATCGATCAATTCATACGTGGGAGGTGATGTGGTGTTTACTTTATCAACGATGAATATCTCGTTAGTCCAATAGCCGACGTAACCTTTCTGAAACAATGATTTATATTTAAAAATACGAACTCGATCTCGAACTTTGAATTTGGGTTTAATATTCAAATTGCTAATCTCGTTTTCAAAGTTGTTTCGAGTGTTGACGGACTTTGTAAATTTCAAACCCCAGAGATATCACATTTCTGTTGTAGAATTCGCTTCCTTTATCAACCCACAACTTTAGGGGTCGTCTGTCGGATTGTTTCATTATGGTTTCGAATGCTTGTTTGACAGTCAGACCCGATTTGTTTTTCAAGGGAAAGACCCAAGCGTATCTGTGTATATGTCGATCACCGTCAAACAATACTTGTACCCTCTATCGACTGGCATGTTGATTAAATCGGCTGACCAAATTTCATCTTTATCAAAAACTTTGACTTTGAGGTAACGTTTGTTTTTTCGAAATTCTTTGTGAATCTCGTCTGCTATGCCCATACCCAATTTCAATTTTGCCTTCAAGAGTTTTATGATAAGAGCCCTCTGTAATTTCTCTTTGAAAGTGGGATTAGGAATATTTTCGAGTTCGTCTATCATTTGTTTGTCTGCTTGGTGTCTGAATGTTATGTCTTTGTTTCTGTACAGTATGTCGTGTTTGAGCGCTGCTGCGTCAATTCTATTGACTGGTTCTTCCCCTGGTTTGGGTTTATCGTTTTCGTCTAAACGCAGATCTAACCTAGTGCCTGGACCTGTATAATTGTGCCCTGGGAGATGTTTTTCTCCGGGATATTTTGCCCATGGGAATCCAGGAAGAGAACCCAATGACTTTTGAATGTCTCCCGCACCAAAATACGTTTTAGGAGGATGGACATTTACTAAAGACATATTTGTTCAATAAACACTATATATTTTTAATACGAAGATTTAATACAAGGAGAAAACTATTCAAGCGATAGAAATGGATCATTAGATCTTTTCACTGCATCTACTCCTGAGGAAATTTGTTGTTTGAGACAAAATTGGCCACTTTGGGGATGAGAGATGTTAGCGCAGAGAAGAAACCGTCTCCTTCGAATTTTTTTTGTTCGTGTTTTAAAATTAAAGACATTTTTATTTTTTTTAATGTGGTTATTTTATACTGTATTATTATAGTGATTCTTGTCTGTGGTTTGGGGTAATTTATAATACAGTTTGGAGGAATCTGTTATGATATATTTTTTTAACAGTTTGGGAAGTCTGTTATAATACATTTTTAACAGTTGTGTCTTTTCGGATATGACGCATTGAAAAAGCTGCGCATGCGCAAAAGTGAAATGCGTCATATCCGAAAAGACAAATATACCTGCCATCTCAAAAACCGGATCAAACTGGATGCGCTATATCAGAAAACACATATTCTACTTGTCAAGGTCAATTTAAGGGTACAGGTCAAGGACGCGGGAAACCCCATGTGAGCACAATTTGAAAATCGCTTACTGGATATATTCAGCGTTTTATAATTAATTACTTGATTTTGTGGATTTATTGGATTATTGAGGGATTTTGATGTATAGTTCTGACACCAGATAAGTCCTCTGATGGATATAATATGCGTTATGGCTAAGATTGTGCGAGATAAAAATTTTATGTTGATTCTAAGACGTTCTATTCCTTTTACATAACTCTAAATTACCGAGAAATATTTACATGTATGTTGCATTGTCACTTTTATGATGTCGACGCCGAGTTGCAAAATTCTAACGACTACTACTAGTCTGACACCATACAAATAATATCATGATACATACCACTACAAGTCTGATACTTAAGAATACTAGTTTGATACTTACCAATAATGGTTTGATACTTTCCATTTCTAGTTTGATACTTACTACGACTGGTTTGATACTTACCAATACTGGTTTGATACTTACCATTACTAGCTTGATACTTACCACGACTGGGTTGATACTTACCAATACTGGTTTGATACTTACCATTTCTAGCTTGATACTTACCACGACTCGGTTGATACTTACTAATACTGGTTTGATACTTACCACGGCTGGTTTGATACTTACCATTACTATCTTGATACTAAAGAATACTAGTTTGATACTTACCACTACTGGTTTGATACCAGCAACTAGAAGTTTGACACCATACAACTAGCTTGACACTCACCACTACTAGTCTGACACCATACAAGTACTAGCTTGATACTTACAACTACTATTCAGTTTGATACTAATAAATACAATGATCCACGGTATCACTCACTTATCTTTGTCTATATCTCTTTCTTTTATCACTCTTTTTACTCTATTTCATTAGTATAATAAAGGAGGACTTTGATCTACATGTATTATGTATACATGTATTATGTATGAAATATATTTGTGAAAGTATGTATTTTACTCAGCAAGGCAGTTTCGAATAAGCATTATGCCCTTTTTGTCTCGCATATATATATATTGTACATTTTACCACTAAATCTACAATAAAGAAATATTGTTTAAAAAAAAATACTTGCATAATGAAAAAAAAACTCTGCGACGACTAAAATATAAGATAGCTTGCCAGGCCAGCTATCAGAAATGATAACAAAGTCTGTAGTGGTTTAATATGCGAAACCAATTATCCGATTGTTGTTAAGGCCTCAAACCAAGTTTCATCAAGATCGGATATAAAATGTAGTCTCTATCAGGCCTACAAGCCAAATTAGACGCATTGAATTAATTCAAGGGCAATAACTCAAAAACCATTCATCCAATTATTACCATTTTTGAACTTGAGATCACATCAATTTATACATCCATACCAAGTTTCATCGAGATAAGATAAAAAAAACTGCACCCTGTATCATGACTTCAAGTCAAATCTGAAGCATTTTAACTAAGCCAAGGGCAATAACTCCAAATCCATTCATCCGATTATGACTAACTTCAAGATCTTATAAAATTTTTAGCCTTTATAATGCATACAAGGCAAATTTAACGCGTTTTTACTAAGTCAAGGGCAATAACTCTGAAACCTTTTATCCTATTATTACCAATTTCAATTTTGACGAGCTCAAAATTGAACGCGTTTTCAAGAAGAAGGGCAATATGAATATTTTTCGATTCTGCTGATTTTCAAAAGTTTCATCCTTGTGTGATTACGAAAATGTTACTCTTAGTGTTATTGGGTAATTGTTAAGTTCCTGTTTTCTCTGAGTTTTTATGCAGCTTTTAAATGAATAACCAAGACTATATAGGTTACCAACGTACTAAATTTTTGAACAAGTAAAAAACGGACTGTAAAATTTGACAATATTTTTAGATTTCTTGGTAATCAATAATTATTGAATATTTATACGTAGGAATAGAAGCGACTGAAATATAAGATTCGGGGCAACTGAAATATAGGATTCAGAACGATTAAAATAAAGGATTAGAAACGACTAGAGTGTTCACGAGCAATTGTGGACGGATGGACGGACATGGGTGACGGCATTTCATGTGGGAGTAAAAAAGTGAAAAAAGTCGTATGTGGGCCACCGTAAAAAAAAGAGTTTGATGACGTCACTAATCGCAAATATGTCTATATCATATTAAGGCCCTTGCGATTAGTGACGTCATCAAACACTTACTTTTAGTGGAATTACATGAACCACAGACGTCTGATTGAAATTGGAATGGTGCAAATTGATGCTTTCAGTGTCCCCGATACACATAAAAAAAAGTTAGAATACCTTTTTTCAATCCCTTTAAACTTGACAAAAATAAAACAAATCAATATTTTTAACATATACCTAGATATTGGTCTAATTATATAAATGAATATTTATGGAATAATGCACGTTATCGAATTAATTTGAATTTATAATTAACATATTGTGTATTGGTTTATTACAGAAGCGAGTAAAATGGAGTTGGCTTGAGATCAGTTTTGATGATATTGTTTTTTTACAAAAATATGGCGGTAATAATATTTTTTCACCCTTATATCATTTAACTAAGAACAAAATTAAATTGGTCTCGAATCAAAATGAAATATATGTATTTGAATTGGTAACAAATACTTTATCTTGAAGAAAACACGTTTTGCAACTTTATTTTAAAATGAATTGTGATAAATGAAATGAGTGGTACCTCACTATTATCATATTCGATCGACATGGCATATAACGAAATTGTTTATATGTTCTAAACCAGTAGTTCCCAACCGATTTCAGCCTTCACACCCCTGGAGCAATCACGTATACCTTTCACACCCAAAAAATTTGCAGCCTAACATCTACTGAGGCACGTGCAACAATATAGATCACACGATTAGATTACATGACATAACGAACAAATACAGAAAATCTTTCAAGATGTCCTGTCAAGGTTTATCAAAAATACAACTATTCAAGTTAAATACTAGTATTGCCATTAACATTTTTGGGAAATGAAATGAAATGAATGGAGTTTTACGTCCTACTTTTCTGCACCATGTGAGCTAATGAAGACGGAACATTTTTGGGAAGAGACATAAACCTAAGTTAGTATTATTATTTGATAAGTCACATAAAAGGTCGGTAAATATCGTAGGTTGTTCAATTTTCATTGGCTTTAAATTCAAGACCTGCTATATTTTTATAGTAAGCGCTTAAAAATAGTAATATAGTAATTTAGCCTTTGTGTGATATTCTCCCGATTCTCATCAAAACCGTAGTTGCTTAAATATCCGCAGTGGTACTTTACTTCAAGGACTTCTTTAATTTGATTTCTTTGTATTTCAGTGTTTAAGTCGAAGATATGTTTTACTATTGGCGTTGATGATATAGATGTTAATATTTCAACCATGGAAGTTGAATTTTAAGCAAATGGTTATAAGGACAGATCAACAAACAGATGCAATGATTGTGATCGAAACAATGCCATTTCTCTTAGAAAATATAAACGGTACAAAGGAGTACCCACAACCTTATCATAGGAGGCAATTGCGAATGGAAGAATATATTACAACTTTAAACAGAACATTAAAAAACAGTTATATCACAGAAGTTTATATTTTATACACGGCAACTGGACTTAAGAATTACATCAATGAACAGTTAAGCAATCTTACAGAAAACTATAAACACAAACTGAAATTAATCGAAACCGAAGAGACAAGTAAAGCAAGCGCACTTCTTAAATTCGCCTATACACAATTTCAGAATGAAATTGTTATGATAAACCAGGCAGATTGTTATCCCGGATATGGCCTAGACTTGATTGACAAAAGTATAATGTTAAAACATAATGCTATGTTTGCCTTAACAAGGCACGCCCGAGTCGAGAAAAGTCGTAATATGACAAAAGAGCCAGCTTCCATGACTTGTGATGTAAGACGATATAGAGGCTCTCACGATACATATATTTTTATTCCACAAGGGAAAATACCAGATGCAGCCCTGACATCAACAAATTTAAAAACTTTTTACCCTGGTATTGATAATGTTTTGGTATTTACATTTAGAAACATTTTGAAATTTAATGTATTGAATCCATGTAGAGTGATTATCTTTTTCCATCTTCATTGTTTGAGGTCTATGAGATCTGTAAGAAGATTTCGAATAAATAACGCAACTAACAAAGGTTTGGCAAGACCAACCAATCAACTATTCACCTAGAACCAATTGTTATAAACCATTGGCGGCAAATTTCCTTGTTGTTAGAATGTAGTAGATTAACTTTCATCGTATTAATGTTTAATTATAAATCTCATATAGAGATTAACTATCACCTGAAATGGAAGACAGGGTATTATCGCTAATTAAGCTTGGTTGTTGATTAAAGGGATTTGGCTATAGTTTTAATTACTATGCTGGGTTGCCACAAACAAACTGTTTGTTAGCTCTGTAATTGATTATTATAGATACAGCGTCCTAGAATGGGCTATATAACCCAGCTTCTGCCATATTCTTCACTCCCAGACTCCGGACCAACAACGTACTACGAGACCATCAGTTCAACGCCATTAAATGTCGCTGCGGCCACGTTGCCACAAGGTCGCATATCCTCATTCAATGCACTGAACTGAAACCCGCTCGTAAGCCACTACTAGAGTACCTGGAAACCAACGGCATACCACTAACCATACAGAATGTTTTGGCTCCACCCACGGACCACTGGTATACGATAATGGAACTAGTCTTCCATTTTATAACCAAATCTGTCTTGAACAGATAGGCTAAGTTTTTTTTTACTCAAAGTTTCTTAACACTTTTTAATTATATC